CGCACAGGTTCCAGCTCATTTGAAAGGCTCAGTCAAAAACTACCAAGTTATGCCCTTGTATATCGAGACATCCGAGTCGATAAAGTGAGAGCATAGGGAAGTGGGAATTGTCGGTGTACAATTACTACCATCCTTTGAACTGTAGGATATTTGATAGTAGGTACGTTATAATTTTTGTGAATTTTGAGATAACGTTTTGCATGACATTAGGCGGCATTATAAATAAATTAATAATAGCTCACATACATTGCAAAGGATTGGTTGTGTTTCGAATAGAGTCTTTATATTTGGATATAATTTGTCGTTATTGAGGAATTAAGGTAACAGAGCTCAATTCTTGTTTTCGATTGAATGATTTCGTTGTCACAAATATAATTGCGATTTACAGCGCGATTAAAATATTTGTCCCTAAAGTAAAAGAACATCAGGTTAAATCTTTTTAAAACATAGGATTTTATTTATACGCTACTAAAAATTACTTGCTTCCATTTTGCAGTATTTTATTATGGCAACAAGGATTCTTGAATGTTTGCCGGGTAATCTTTCTATTTAATTTCCAGCAATGTGGTCGATAATAGAATTTCATTATGTAGGTATCGATTTATGTGTCAAGCTCATTAAGTCTGATAGAACTATATTTTCTGTTATTTAACACGAAGTCATTTGTAACGTAATCACTGAGGCAAATCTATTGGCGACGAGGCATGCGATATTATGGCTTACCAAGTTCCTTCTTTTTAATTTAAATTACAATTCAATAAAGTGTAATTTGTTTGGTTTGCCGTTATTCTCAAAACAAGATATGGTACAGTACGTAGCAGAATTGGTGTAGAAATATTTCAATAACTTTTGTATTACTTTGCATATAATTTCGGTTTAATAGAATCACCCGCATATGGTGTAAAATCACGTATTAATAACCTATTGAATGCAACGGTAAAAGAGAGAATTTTGACATCGTAGCGGGATGTTGTGTTCTTCGTGATAAGCTGATATTTTGATATTTTAAGCGCTGTTAATTTTTAAATACAAAAGTAAACGACTGATGTTAGTCATATTGTTTTATTAAAGTAAATAACATACTCTTAGACGATACACAATTACAACGTTTTACCTGCGTTCTCCGCAATTAAATTCAAATTCTAGGATTAAGGTGGCAGAATCTTATCAAGATGGTAGCGAAGGTTTATTTGTTATGTATGTTCTTTACATAATATTATTATTGTAATAAAGCGTGATAAGTATGAGGAGATATTACACACATGGGGGTAGCTATATGAGTTACAGTGAAAACGGAACTGAGGAAGGTACGGAATGGACTTGTTTCAAATAGCTCAAAACAACGTTTGATAACAGAATTTTATCTCTTTGCTACTACGTTCAGAACGGTTCTTAGGCCTGTCCAAAAATGTACCCAATGTGTACCAGAAACTCCGATCCCAGAAAAATGTGGCTTCCATTTACTGCGTCTAAAATATGTGGAACTTTACCTTCATGTTTTTTGAACGGCATAGTGTTTAATAGGGCACTTTTAAATTTCGCTAAATAAAAGACACAGGTGCAGTTGAAGGGTTAAGTGCATAAACGAGATGGCTGCATTGTTTTATACATAAAAATATCGCCCGATTTATTGGTGGAAAATTATTCATTGGTTACACTGTTACAACGAAAATTAAAACACGTCATTTTGTGGTGTGAATTAGGAATTTAATTCTTTAAAAATGTTTTTTGTTGTGTTTAAATAATTGGTTTAAGTGGAAACACAGTGTAAGAAGATGACTGTCTTGTGGGATGTTGCTCCGTGACGTCTGGTAGGAATTTACCGATGTTTCAGAGGTTCTTACTGCCTTCATAATCAGGGCGATGAGTCAGTAAGCACCTTTGAAACGTCGGCCAGTTTCTATCAGACTACAGGCGCAACATACCAGAAGATAGATAGTTATCTTCACACTTGTCGCCGTGAGAACCTTGCGTTATGCCAGAACTGGCACTAATCTACGACATTTAATTGTAACTTTAAGTGACTGTCTGCATTGGTCCGTTTTACTCGTTGCCCAACTCTATTAATGCTGAATTTAATTTAGCTAACCTGTCGTCACTGTTTGTATAGCGTGTTCATGGCAATATAAGTATTAATTTTAATAATTTATTAAAAAAAAGAGGCAAAGGAAGGATTTATTCTGAACGAACACTGAAGTTGCTCAGAGAAGAAGCGGTTTATGTTCGTATCTGAGATATTTCTTTCGTAGCATGAGAATAGTTAAACAGTAGATGTACCGTACACTGGTAACACTAACTGATCTTTTAAAATACCATAAGAAGGGTGGTTGTCGTAAGGAAATTTTGGAAGAGTTGGCTTCGTAATGAACGGATAAATTTCGTACCCATGAGGATTTTTTAGCATGAAATAAATTCTGGGATTGCTCTGGTCCTGAGGTCTCCAGTTCATTATCCAGTTAAGGAAACTTGTCATATATGCTATGACATTAGGTACATTAATTTCAATTGGAAGGAACGGAATTATTTCAATAACATCTCCCAAAGTTGGTAGACGTACGCTCTTTACCACTGTAATATTTGATTTCATTCCTTCATCACCAGATTGCAGATCAGACTTGACTTCGCCGACAGTGTTTGTAATGTAGTATACATTTATGTTGCTGGAAGACAGAGAAGACTTTTCTTCTCCCGCATTTGACTTCGTGCTGAGTACGAGGTACACGTCCTCGTTATTACGTGGCAATATTGTTAATACGTTTTCCCTGAAAAATAAGATATTAAAACTGTTGAAAACATATTTTTGTACGACATAAAATTATATAGGGCTGCTGCAGGCTTCTACCAGGACAAAACGACGCAACATCCCGGAAAGTTATCTTCAGTTAAGCGTTTGGTTA